ATTTGAATAATTTATCAAGGCCCATGGGCGCGGTTCTTTCACTTGTAAAGTAGCCAATTATCACCGAGCCGGTGGCACACGATGGGCGAAAACATGTATTTCACACCCATTGTACGTCGACATAAAGCGCTTATACATTACAAACAGAATTTTCGTAGGACTGCCATTACTTTAGTTTGCAGCATGTGTATTGAGAACGAGTATCTTCATAATACTGCTGGCTGTTTGTAGAAGAACGTTAACGGCACAATAAAACAGTTTTCAATACCAACACGACTTAGCAGATAACACGTAATGAAGCCCACTTTCTACGCAGATTGTAGCACTACGTAATGTTACACAAACTAACAGTAGATGTTTTAAGGAATTCACAGAAATGACAATGATAGATAATGCAACGCATATACATTATACAGCACAAAATAAAGAGTAACAGTAATGTAGTCGTCTTTGGCCGGGTATGGCAAGTTATAGTACGTACATGTATCGGTTCAATATAATCTTTAACGGGTAAGTTGACAGCAACAAGCAAGATGCATAGGTTCTATTACTTTTGTAGCTCACTTGCGTCTAGATTTAGGACGAACCCAATAAAAATGTTCCTTTTTCGCCGCAGTTTTTCATGTAGTGGTTACTTCGACAGCCTTTCCGCTGACGCAAACATACTAGTTTGAGGTTCCACAGTTCTTACAACGTTAGCGCTTGAAGTGGTGTTTTCCAAGTTTGTTGGTCTGGTGATGTTGTCTTTGTTGGCTTGTTGTCTGTCATTTCCCTCCATTTTTATGTTAACGTTTGGCGGCCCGTCTTCGATGGGTTGGGTTTGCTTCACAAATCTCGGCTTCGCTATTAAAGATCCGTTCCTTCCCGTACGTAGTGGTCGCTCCATAAACTCAACCTTCTTTATGTTACTTGGCCACAGCCGACCACCAATGCAAGATAAACAAGTTAAAATACTACTACACAATGCAAGTAAAACAGTTTACCTCCTCAAGTTCCCGCTTGGCCCTGGACATCTTGCTTGACATTTTCCTTTCTCACAAAAGTTTCGCGTCTTGAGTCTCGGCAGAAGTACAACAAGAAGCCATAGGCGACAATTCTCCGTGAAGTATTATATATTGCAACAAAAAGAAGTAGCCATTGGCGACAATTCTCTGTGAAGTGTGATAAATCGAACAAAGAAAAATTGTTTAAACGCGCGTCGGCTCAGTCATCTTAAGACGCAACAACCAATCAGAGATGCGAGATGCCTACACGTGACGCGGGAAGGGCGCGCGATGCCCGAAATATTTTTGCGTCAATATTCAGCGCCGTGATTCAAGAGATTAATACCCGGAAACAATTTTTTTCTTGTTTTGAACGCATTAACATGCATTTACGCTAATCTAGTATGATTCAGGGTTACTTTTTTTTTTTACCTGCCATGGCCAGATTATCTAAAGATGTGTGTATTGTGTGTACAATCTATAGAA